TAGTATGGAGAATGAGGAGATGTACAAGAAAATTAAAAACATGTACTTAGGGCTGTGAAAGGAGAGAATTGATATTTTTGAGTTCCAAATTCAGCAGAAGCAATATAGTTGAATGATGAGGCACACCTTTAACAAAGCAAATGAAAACCCCAATAGATATATATACAACAACAACAACAACAAACAATAAAGAATAGATCTGGCCTGCATGGCTCAGTGGTTGAGCATGAACCTATGAACCAGGAGGTCATAGTTTGATTCCTGGTCAGGGCACATGCCTGATGGACAAAATTACCAAGAAGAAGTACATGGGAGGCTTTTGGGGTGCTGGTCATGCTAGATATCTTGCAGGCTTGATCCCCAGGAGTTGGTGTGCAGGAGGCAGCCAATCAATGACTCTCATCATTAATGTTTCTCTCTCCCTCTCCCTTCCTCTCTGAAATCAACAAAAATATATATTAAAAAAAGAATAGAGGTAACAGAGAAAAAAAAATTGTAAACATAAGTAAATAATTAAAAGTAGGCTAAGTAACATATTAATAGAAAAATAAAAAATATAACATTTTCATTCTCATCAAGTACCACCTTTTCATTTATAAGCTGTCTTTATATGTGTGTATGCAGTTATGTGTTGCCTTTATTTATAACATAACTGTTATAGTTAATAAAATATATAGTATCTAAGAGGTTTATAAAGTCATTTCCCACCTCAGTGGCTTCTACAGCATTTCCCCAGAGAATCAAAATGTTAGGCTGTGAAGGTGGTTTCCTGACCTTGAACTCCCGTGAGCTGGAGGGAAGATACTGAGGGCTCCCTGTAGGTGGGGGTGACCTCACTATTTCCAGGTTCACTTAAATGAAGGTAATAAACAAGAGACCCACACATGTCCTCCCCATTTAGAAAGCACTTGGAAGTCGGGTGGCCAGATAGCATGCTTTTTCATCAGTAGGAAAAAAGACAGGGACAGTGAGGACCAAACCAAAGTCACCGTTTAAAAGTCCATTTCTCCAGGGAGTTCAAGGAATTTGCAAATATGTGCAAATCCACCATTTTCTCAGTGAGAGGAAGCGCCAGTCTCCCTTTTGTGAGAGAGCTACTCCTTGAATAGTAAAGCTAAGACATCCATAATAATAAAAGCATAATATGCAAATTGATCAAATCACCAAACAGTAGAATGACCTTCTGGACAACCTTCCAGATGACCACGCTACGACACTCACTGGTACCAGGCCAGCCAAGGTGGGTGTGATGCGATTGGTGAGGAGTCAGGCCATTGCCACATGATCGCCCTGTAGAGGGAGGCCCAGGCCACTGGCTAGCAGAGCAATGGATCAATTGGGGGACTCCATGATCGACCCCAAAGGGGAGGCCCAGGCTATCCTGTGGTGGTGCTGCAGTGGGTAGCCTGGGCCTCCCTCTGCAGGGGCAATCCATGGAGGAGCCCCGGCTGGATGGGCAAGGCCTACCTCTTAGGGGAGATTGATCATGGGGCTCCCAAACTGGGAGGGCACAGGCCAGGCTTAGAGACCCCACCCCCAAGTGCATGAATTTTGTGCACTGGACCTCTAGTACTAGTATAAGCTTTGTTCCTGTGACAACAAAGCCACCATCTGATTATAGTTCTGATTTTATTCACAACCACTATGTAAATATGACAGCTCTTAAGGAGTAAAATAGTGTGATTATTCTTTAAAGTCTGGCTTGCTGGAATTTTCACAATCCTGTCATAAAAATTATTAAAATTCTGGTGGAAAGTGATTCTTTCTATGCACACTAGAAGGCAGAGATTTCTTGGTATGTATTTGAGGCACTCACAGGACTATGTGTGAGCCAGGGCATCAATACAGTTGCTACAAGAGTAAAAGGATAAAGCATAAAAATATACTGTAAAGAGAAAAAACAGTCAAAATATTCTTGGTAGCCTGGTTTGGCTCAGTGGTTAGAGTGATGGCCTATGGATTGAAGGGTCTCAGATTGGATTCCTGTCAAAGGCATGTACTCTCTTGCAGGCTTGATCCCCAACCCTTCTCGTGAGTATGTGGGAGGCAACCAATTGATATGTCTCTCTTACATTGATGTCTCCTTTTTTGTCTATCCCTATAAAATTTAATGAAAAAATATCCTTAAGTAAAGATTAACAAAACACACACACACACACACACACACACACACACACACACACACACATCCTGGTAGTATTCCTACTCTGCTAATGTCCATTGGCTATTATATTCCAACTTTTTTTGGATGCTAATATCCTATGAACTGATAAATCATCGCTACTGATTTAGAAATTACCAAACCATTTATGGGCAAAATATACCTCAAAACGTTTTAACTCTAGTCAGTAATGAGCTTACTCCCACTGCTGAAATGATTTTCCATGATGTTTCAAATTTCCATCAGTTTCATTTTAAATTTCCTAAGTTGCCAGCTCCCCGATCACATATTCAGTTCACATCTTCCCACTTTGTGAACTTCCACTGTGCCTCCATCCCCCACTCAATTATAAATTCTCTTATTTTGCCTTACCCTGTTGACTGGAATTTACTGCTCAAGGCTTCTATCCTTCTGCTTATGGAAGGCTCAAGGATTATTTATTGAGCCTCACTAGTATATCTAAATTTGTCACATTTTCCCCCCCTCTCTCTTATAGTCTGAAATGGAGAGGCTGTTTATCTCAATCGATGACTGAAAACAGCAGCTCATGGAAACTAGTTAGAAGCAAATTCTCAAATAACAGACTTGGCAGCGTTCCATTACCTTTGATTATAAAAGGGCAAAATTAATGGGCAGTTCATGAGGCTATGTGACAGAGAGGTGACAGGGAGTCACTGTGATTCAAATGGCAGAAGTCAAGGGGTTGTTTATCCTAGCTGCCATGTCAGTCTCTCTTTCATCAGATGTAAAAACTGTCTGACTCTGGTGGCCCACTGCAGTGAGCCCTTCCTTCTAGACCACTTAGTCGCATCTCTGGTGTTTGGGAAAGCAATCTTTAATGAATGCTAATCAAGTTTCTAATTATAATATCTTAATGTTTGTGTATCAGATGAAAGGCAAACATTTTGGGGCCAGTCACAAAGGACATGAATAATTTTTCTTAGAAGATTAATTAATGAGTTGTGTTGCTCTACAATATCTTGAAAATTTGAACTGCCATCATTTCATTAATTTAGATAAAAGTGAGTTTTCAGCATTTAATGATGACATGTTGAAAATGATGATAAGTTGCAAAGTTTTTAGTCATGCACATTTATTTAACAGAGATAATAATAACACATTCTGAGGATATTTGGGGGAGGTGGGGTACTGGGATCATGTAGGGTGTAGGAGGCAAGGATGGAGCTCCAAACTATCGTGTTTCCTGCTAACATGATATATTCCCTTTACTCTTCAGTAGCTACTCTTCAGCTCATGGTCAGGCTAGAGAGAGAGATAAATCTTTAAGCATATAATAATACCTTATTTTAAGTAATTATACCTTATTTATCGAATTTACTCAAGTAGATAAAGCATGAAATGTAAGTTCCTTACCTTAAGGTCTGGTGCTATACTTTGAAATAAAACTTTTCCTTTCATCAAAAGTTGGGAGTGCATGCTTCCTCTTTGAATAAAGAATGGATTAATCCATTAGATATAAGATAGTAAAGAGGAGGGATTTGTCAGGTGACATATTTAAGGCCATTGGCTTGATTTGGGGAAAGTGAGATTGTGTTTCATGACTGAGGTGGCTGGAATTTCAGAGGAGAATAGTCATCCATCCTTAGGTAATCAAATTGGAATACTGGAGGGTAGCCATGCTAGTTAACCAAATGTAAATCTTGTAGCATTGCCAGTGGGGTTAACCAAGTATAGATTTGTAACATGGCTCTGGTCATTTGGTGGTGGTGCTTTAGAAATGCCATCATATTTAAGAAAAAACAAAACAAAACACAGTGATGAGTGTTTGAAGGTTTTAGAGATCGGAATGTAATCAATTATCAAAAAGCAGATTTGATGTATCAAAAGCAAGTTGATTTCTTTACATTCAGAAGTCAAACACTTCCCCCCTAATGGGTTGCTGATAAATATTTAGTGCCACAGAAACACAAATAAATAATTGGCCATCCCCAATGCATTCGGCATAATTTAGAAACATCAAAAGATTCTACAGTCAGAGTCAAACTATTGTATTTACTACAAATAAAAAAAGCATCACATGGCCCAAGTCAGCAATGTATTAATGGACCAGATGTGTGTGTGTGTGTGTGTGTGTGTGTGTGTGTGTGAGTGTGTGTGTGTGTAACTTTTTAAATTTAAGGGCTTGAGGATTAAGGATTATGCATTAAATTATTTGCTATTGGGATTGACCTGGAAAGATTAGAAGATTATTATCTGTGTACACTGATGAAAATCTTATGAAAATGAAAAAATTAAAATGACTTGGGCTTATGTTATCCAAAACCATCCCAAGGTCAAGTTTTAATAAAAATATTATTCATAAAAAACATGATCCCCCATCTTTAAGATTATTATTTTTTAATCACCGCGAAGGACCAATTAATTGATTTGGTTCTGCCCTCATGCTGTGTTTTTGTTCTTCTTTAACAGATAGCCTGTCAAAGGAGGGATAGCACAAAATTGGGTTTTATTCCACCCACGATAAACAAAGAGATAGATCTTTGTTGCATACAGCACTTTGTTTTATTTTGTCTAGTGGACTTTATTAATAAAATAAAGCTTTCTTTATCAAAGAAACCTTTTAATGATTCAGAGCGAGGCTCTAGCAAATGGTGTTTGGAAGAATAATCTACACTTTTTTTTAAAGCAGGGAAGCCCTGGCTGTTTTTTCTCATTGAGTGGTCAGACTTCATAGCCACCATGTTGAAACCACACCCTTCCCCCCTCCCTTTCCCCACAAGGGGGGAGTTGAAACAGACACTCATGCTTTCAAGAACAGTTGAGTTGCACGTTACAATGAAATGCCCTCAATGCTGATGTTATCTTTTCCTTCCCATAGGGAACCACAGTCAGATATCACGAGTACCTGTTGCTATTAAAGTGCTGGATGTCAATGACAACGCCCCTGAATTCGCATCCGAATATGAGGCATTTTTATGTGAAAATGGAAAACCCGGCCAAGTAAATATCTCCATGTTGTTAATGCTGATATGTTTGTATGCGACTGTTTCCTATTTGACTAACCTGCGCGAGTGTGCACCTGCCTTCTTTTCGGTCCGCAGAGTCACAGGCAAGAAACCTCCGGGTGGAAACAGAGAGGGAGTGTTTTTCTTTCCTCGCTAAGTAGGACCAGATTGGCTCAGGGAGTGGAACAGCCTGCTGTGCTGTGACCCCAGAGCCAAAGAACTAACTTACACTATTCCAGGGTCTGGATGAGAGCAGGGAAGGGGCCCACAGAGTAACCTCCAAATGTCAGGAAGCAAGGGGGAAGCTCATGGGGAGTGAATGCTTGGCTCACGTCAAACATAGAAATAACACAGAACAGTGGAACCCGGGTCAACAGCTCTCTGAAGGTGTAGGAAGTGAATTTTGAAACCTGTGAAAATGTAGTTAATTCATTTTGACATAAGATAAACAAGGGGTCTTAGACATGTAACTCTAGTATCTGATAATTGTGTGTTGATGGAATTTTTTTTTTACCTGTTTCATGTAGTATAAATAGAAACAATTAAGAAAGGGGGTGAGGTAGAGGGCAGAGAGGTAAGGAGGTGGGAGGGAGAAAAAAAAGGAAGAATGGAGAGAAGGAGGGAGTGGTAAGGGTGAGAGGAAGAAGGGTGTAGGGAGGAAGGGAAGTTATGAGGGAAGGTTGGAGGAAGAGAGTTGTAAGCAAGAACAAAGCAAAACAAAACCTGCTATACTCTGAATGTCCAAATGGAAATAGTGTATGTAGAGTTCCGAAAAACACAAATGTAATAGATTTATCTGAACAAGGTACCAAAGTACTGTATGTTTAAGAAATTTATCGTTTTTCAACTTACTAATTTATTTCTGGATGGGTGACATTTTAATTTAAATAAACAGCAGCTGACAGCATGACACTGGAGTTGTTAATCCAACTATTCTTGTGCCTCACGTGGGTGTTAGGAATTAAACTTACTATTTGCTGAGCACTTTACCTGACAGGAGTCAGATTTTTTTTCTGTCAAAAGAAAGGATTGATACACTAGCTCTATATTTTTCAAGATCAGTGTGTTACCATCCTTTAAAATCAGTGGACATTTTCTCCTAGACTACTTTCATATATCTGAACTATTAGCATTGTTTACCAAAATAACACACACACACACACACACACACACACATACACACACTGAAATTGTTATAAAACTGATTAATTTTAAGCAACTCGACTATATGAATGTTTTCTAATCAAAGCATTCACCTTTTACAGTGCTATACTCTTTTTAAAAAATAATATTCTAATATTTGCTCCAATGTTTCTTAATTTTGTAATGTGGAACTGCTCTCTAGAATGTTTTGAACATTTTCATTTGTGATCCTCCAAAGATTGAGTGTGTTTATATATACAGAGTGGGGAAAAAATAGGTTTATAGTTGTTCGTATGAAAATGAATAAAATAACACGAATAAACAGGGCTTCACATACTCACAACTGTAAACTCACTTTTTCACCACCCAGATAAGTATGTCATATTTATTTAGTGAAGATGGCGGTTTGAATTGGCAGAGAGTTTGATCAAAATATACAAAATATATGCAGGTCCCTTTCAAGACTATGTTTGTGAGATCCAGATCATTGCTGGGATAATGTAGCCACTCACAGACTTATAAGCTTGTCCCTTTCAATCATACAGAATCTGTCAAATGCATTAGGATTTAAATAAATCACCATTGTTCATGCAAAACTTATCACACAAGTTGAGAGAGTAACAGCATCAACATTGCATAAATCCAACACTGCCTTCACTTGTGGCATTGACATGCATGCCTTCTGAACCCCAGGAATCTGGAGTTTACCCAGTGGATTTTAACTGTTTCCAAGGTTTTAATGATTCCTTAGCAGTTCTTATCCTCGGGGTGGTGGTGGTGGTGGTGGGGATCAGGTTATTTCATCACCTTTCCTATGCAAGAGCAAAATAAAAGATAAAAGTTAATTCTTTGTTTTATAATTTTTGCAGGTTAAAATGATTCTTTTTGTCAAGAGCTGTTTATGTCATGTGTGTGTCTACTGTACTAGCTCATCCTCAAATGAATCTGTTTAGGCAGATCTGTCAAAGGTTCATTTTTACATGGAAAGATGAGATCTTTGGTTGTTCAGCGTAATTTTTGGACTGGTTTATACACATGCAATCATCCACCTCCTGAATTTCCTGATTTCTTTGTGCGATTCAGAAGTCATATTTGGTTTGTTGTATCACTCCCAGTCACTTTCAATAGCTCGAGTATCTCATTTTTATATTTAACCTTTTCCAAAAATTCATTATTGTTACCTACACTAGTGTTCACTTATATAAGTTCAACACAGATAAAACTTTCAATCATCTCTACTCACACCCTACAGACCACTGACTCATTTTCCAATTATAATGTCCATTCTCAAATATCAAAAACAAATGTCAAACATTGAATTAGCACCAGAGTTGTAGTCACTCAATATTTTTCAGCAATTGATGTCTGCTTTACAGTAGCCTCAGAGGAAGTAGTGCAGGTGACTTTGAAATCTGATTTGCCTGGAAGGTGTGGATTTAAGGCTAAATTCTGAGGGGATCAGCTTCTGGGGAGATAGTGCAACTGGAGGTCATTAGCAGTAATCAAGGGCAAACCATTCAGAATACACCATCCAAAGACTTCTGGACTGAGAGAACCTCAAAGAGGTTTTTAAAGCATCTCATAAACTCAAAGCCAATGTCCACATGAATGTAGATAATTATTTTGTGCTTAAATAGTGGAAATTGAACTCATAAACAAAATACCAAATAAGAAAGAAAGGAAAGAGAGAGAGAGGAAGAGGTGGAGGAAGGGAGAGAGGGAGGGAGGAAAAGATGGAGGGAAAGAATGAAAGAGAGGAAGGAAGGGAGGGGAAAAGGGAGGGAGGAAGAAAGGAAGGAAGGGAGAAAGGAAAAGAGGGAGGGAGAAGGGCGGAAGGAGAGAAAGAACAAAAGAGAGGAAGGAAGGGAGGAAGCCGGTTTCATCTTCTCTAGGTGTAGCTTTCCATTTCATGGCATATCTGTGCTAAAATTGGCAGATGTTCACTTTGAAAGTAGAGCTGCAAATCATATAAGCCCCAGCACCTCCTCATAATTCTGAAATGAAAGATGACTTTTTCTTGGATTTGTTCCCTTAAGAGAATAACAACAACCCTGTGACATAGAGAAATTGTTCCCATTCCATATTATACAAAATCAACATGAATCCCTTCTGGTTAGAATTCTTTTAAATCTCCAATATACAACTATTTAAATGTTAAAAATACAAATTCCATGGTATTTTCTGATTATGAGTATTTTTTTAAATTCTAATAGTTATAAGTAATTTATCTTATATAAAAAAATAGAAGATGGTGCACATCTTTAACCTCTAATTTGATGATGGTCTGATAGAATCATCTACACATTACTTCGTCCTCAGTTATCAGGAAAAATAAAAAGATGCTCTCCACTCACTTGACATCGCTAATTTCAAAATTTGATATAAAAATATATGCCTGCTATTTCCTTTGTCTAATGGAATGATGGAATGGTAGGCTTTGGACAGCCAGTCAATATGAATTGAACACTAATTATATGCCAGGACTTGACTTAGTACTGGGGATCTAGTGGCAAACAATGCCCTACCCATCACTCTTTCCCTCATGGGCTATTCTCTCTGGCAAACACGAAAAAATGATAGGATTGCATAAAAATACCTTAAATCCTTGTGGCACCCAGAAAGGAGTTATAAGAGAGGAAAGAAATGGAGCTATCTTAATGACAAGACCTCCACCAGAGACAGGAAACATCTGTCAAGAATTCCAGAGGAGTCAGCTGGGAATAGCCCTGATGCTGCCTGGAGAGAGTGGTCACGTGGCTGGACAGGTGCAGGAGCAGGCAACAGATGTGGAGAAACCATCATTCTGCCCGAGAACACCACACTTGGAACCACACGTGAGAGAAACAGAACTTCAGTGGCCAGTGTTGGCCAGAGGGCCTTGCATCATTCTGTTGTCCATCTTAGGTCTTCCAATATGAGCTTTCTAGGATTTTATTTGCGATGCTAGCCTGTTGTATCTTAGACAAAGAGAACTGGGGTAATCTGTCCCAGATGGTGTATTGACACAGGGACTGAACAAAAATGTATTTCTAGGAGTGAATCAAGGTCTCGTGTTGAGGCTCAGAGAATATTGGAGAATTATTGTTTGAGAATACGGTAGGTGACAGACGGCTTCAGTTCTTTTTCCTCCAGGAAGGAGCTTCCCTGTTACTATAAATGAAGCTAGTAGAGGCTAATTTAAGCTTCATCACCAGCTATAGAAGTTGAGATGTAATATTTGGAATCAAGTTAATTATGTCTGGGTTAAAAAAAGATTCTGATTTACCTCTTTTAATCTTTTCTTTCTCTGATCAATACTGCAGTATATAAAGTTAGTTTATCATAGGAATATCAGAGGCACTCCCCCCTAAAAAAAAAAAAGGAATAACCATTACTACTACATAGGATCTAGCCAATGTTTGGCATGTAATGGATGTGAGGGCGATCTGGCTGCGACATCTGTCACCCCATTGATCGCCAGGGTTGATTCGGCTGATCTGGCTGGCTAGGCGGGTGTCCCCCTCCTCCCTCGCCGATCCATGTGCGTCCCTCCCGAAGCTGCGTGCTCGGTCGAAGAAGACGCTTTTCCCCCAAGAGGAGAGGACCGGTCTTTGGTCAAGAGTATACGAGTAGCTGCGCTCCCCTGCTAGAACCTCCAAACAAGCTCTCAAAATCCAATGTTTGGCGTGTAATGCATAGTCACAGAATTTTAAAATCATGGTTGTCATTTACTTCATTTGGCAGTGACAAATAATTCAATAATTATTTTCTCAAATATTACCATGGAAACACTCATTCTACTCACAGACATGCAGCACACAAGCTAACCCTCTTCACATGAAAAATCATTCAACCATTTATTAAACTGTATTG